AGTATTTTAACTCTTCCAAAAATATGTATTTGCATACTAACAGTTTTTGTTGCAGTCTCTTCATTATGTTCTGTCCAATGGTTTCCTCTTTTCCTTTTGTTGCATTTTCTTTTTGTCTTCTTGATGAATTCATGACTGATCTTTGTAGTTTCTGCGTTGCAAAAAGAGTCTCTAGCTATTCCATTTGTTATTTTCTTAACTCATTATAGAGTGACAATGATTAAGAAAGAATCGAAGGTGACGAAAACATTTAGTCTAACAGAACAAATTATATTAGAGTTTTCCACACATCATCTATGCAAACTTTGAAACGCTCGACGTTCTGGTGAAATACCATGATAAAATCGCTGACCAGTATATGTTCCTCCCATGTAATGGAACAGCCAAGAAGCCAGTTAAAATGTAAGTCGGTCTGAAATTTACTGATTGGGAGAATAACATTGCATAATTTTAGCAGCAAAATGTCGAGAGGAACGATGAATTAGTTTTTAAACGCAGCAGTGATATACTGAATATACTTATAGCCCTCCGTGCAGTCAACCCTATAGCCAGAGATCTTTGTATACACCCCAGATACCGACATCGTTCAAAGTGGCCAACTGTAGCCCTTTGAGCATGACACTTACCTTCTTCATTATTGCGCTGTCCAAAGTTTTTACGATTATACGGTCAACGTCCACTCACACTCCTGTCATGTGAATTCCCGTCTGATTATTCCGGAAACAATAATGTCGTTACTGCAAACATTCGGAAATCTGACATAAAGCATCTTGTATTGGAAGAAGCGTAACGGGTCGAGACATACTCAGTTGCTATTATGGTTGACGTGCCTATAGCTGATGCTGTTCCAGTAAAGCAAACTATGAATGCGGTTTTGAGATGAGAGAATTTTGCCCAAGTAAATCCTATCAACCCATCCAAGAATAATCTGAAATAAATGACAGTAGAACTGCATTCAGAACTCTTTGGGTGATTACGGCAGGGACATGCCAGCCCAGTGGAATCAGGAAGTTGTTGTATCAACGTAGAGACTAGAACTGCAGCTAGCTGAATTCAATGTATATTGCAGATCACTAGGGTTTGGGAAGCATGAAGTCAGTCTAAAGGTTACAGCAAACAAGGACGGCAGCTTAGCAGGGAAGTGAGGTAAAGGGCGATATTTGCTAATACACAAAAACAACTCCATGATATTTTGTCTATAACCACGCTAGAAAGCCATGGGATTCATTTCGTCTGCTATTGGGCATAACCAATGAGTTCCAAAGAAATTTTTCACAGCTTGAAAAGAGATACTAACCTAACCCGACATTTGGCTTGCCGACAAATTTTGAAGTATATGATGCGGTGAAAGTAGATGATACATCACTAAGGGAAGCGACGGCAGAGGGAAATGAAAACCTCCCAAAGCGAGAGATCCCTGGTTTCAACGCGACGCTTTAAAGGATGCTTGGAGATTTTATCAATTATCTCCTAAAGTTTGATGAGCTCGATAACCATATCGCCAAAGAAAAATAAATGTTGACCCGGATGAAAAAAGACACGAATCTTAAATGAGAAAACAAAGTTTGAGCAAGGAGATACAAGATTGCCTAGAAGACGATCGGCTAGAAGCTGACAGCACTAACTGAAAAAATCTTCGCACCCATTTTGGTTTGTGGTCTTAGCCTATATGTGAGCATATAAGGTGCCAGCGGGACTATCTGTCGCGGGATTAAGTTTCAGGCATTAATTGTCGTGGGATTAATTGTCGTGGGATTAAATGTCCGTACACCCCCATTTTAGCAGGATACATTCCTGTCCCAGAGATTCTTTTACATAGCTATATCATTGATTTTCACAGTGATAGTTCACCATAAATGCAACTGTCCGTGCAGTAATGGGCGGAGGCAGAACATCGCCTGCCCTGACGCCTAGATCAGACACTACCAGCCACCCCCCTCCCTCGTGTTTCACAAACGCGAATGAATGGATAAGAAAACCATCTTGATCGGATGGCTGGTATGCTCAAAACGCTAGTAGAAAAACCCAAAATACTGTAAATATTTATATATTATTTAATCATTTATATATTTATTGTAAGCATTTATATATTATTTAAAGACCTTTTTAAATTTTGTAAGTTATCAATAAATGTTTATGTCACTTAGCAGACATTCGTGCATAATGGTTTCATTTTGGATTTCAGATCATGTTAATTACATTGCAATTGAGAAAGTATATTTCTGTCATTGTTTATAGAAAAGGAAAAGTGACCAACTATATAACACACGCTGACGGCAGCCTGTACAGAATATAATTACATTTCTACCTTTAAGAGTTCATGCGCTTTTTATTGCCATTATCGATATACTAATATAGCTGGCATTTATTCCATTAAAAGACATCACGTCATCTGAACAACAGCTTGACTCAATTTGGTTGATGTGGAGATGTTTGTGGGTTTTTTTTGGTTTTTTTACAGTAAATCTCGACAAGTAGTTTATTGAATGCCAAGGTCATTGGGACAAAGTGACTTGCCCAGGGACACAACTCTAGCTAACCAAGCTGATCCGATGGCAAGATTCGAACCCGTGGCCTTTTCGGTCGCAAGTCCTGAATGCTCACAAAAATTGCCGCTGCGGCTCCTAAAACAACCCAGAGATTCATTTGTTTATAACAAAATAAAAGGCAGATCATCAAAAGCCCATATCAAAGTGTACTTGTTAAATTATATTTTAACTTTCTCTTCACAATAGATTTTAAGTATTGATAATTTAAACAACTGCCCCAACTAATAGTTCTTATCGTAAAACTTCGCCTAAATTTACAATATGAATGCTTTGGCTGTAGAATTATATATATATATATATATATATATATATATATCTGTGTGTGTGTCTGTGTCTGTGTAAATAGACCAGACACTGTGGCTGAAGTATATGCTACTTTTTACTATTTTCAAATGTCAGGGTATTTACATTTACCAATTAATTTATAATTTGCTTTTAGACTTGTATAAAATGTAATAATGGTACATGTAGTATTGTAAGTACGATGATATTTCAATAATTTACATCGGTATTTAGGATTAGGGATTAACAAATCACCATAGGTAAAGTAAGCATGATTAGATAACAAGAAGTACTCATGGTAAAGATATATGCACGAGACTAGATGTAAACAAATTAAGATTTTTGATGATGTGTTTGATAATGAACATTTAGAAATAATGATTGGTATAGCCATTTTATAACGTTAGATTAATCTGTTACTGTTATTTCTTTCATCTGAGGTTTAGCAAAGATGAACGAGATTTTCAAGACAGCTGCCATGGCGACCATATTGGTGTCCAAAGTCGTATCGGCATAGGGTTCTCACCTGAAGACTTGTTATGATATCTTGATGGTCCTAAATGAAATGGTGTCTCTAGAACATTCAAAATTAGCTGCAATAGGGAGCATCTTTAAAACTTATTATCGTTACACTTTCTGAACGGATGATCATAGTATTATGGGGTGGTCACATGAAGACTGATGTTTAGTTGGTCTAGATAAAAATGGTGCTAACCTGACATTCAATATATTTGCCTGGGCAGCCATCATAAAAATATTTTTATGATGGTCGCCTAGGTAGTCATCATAAAAATATTTTTATCACTACTCCTGAATGGAAGATAATATCCACGTGGGGTTTCACCAGAAGACATATTAAGATATCAAGTCTTATATGAAAACGGTGCCACATGGATATCCTAAACATGAGAGCCGCTTAAAAAATATTGTTTTCGCTATTTCTCCTTAATATATGGTCGTATCAGCATGGAGTTTCACTAAAATGATTCTTATGAATGAAAATGGTGCTGGTCTTACATCCAATATGACCGACATGGCAGCCATCTTGAAAATATCGCCACACCTATTAAACAGAAAATCATATCGATACGGGAGTGTCTTCTGAAAACTTCTGTTGATATCCACGTAATTCTAAATGCGGGTTTTATACATTCTGCATAGCGAGTTACTTTCACGGTGCAAAACACATCGCACTTTCCATCGTCCGACGTGCTATGTGTTTTACTGGTTTGCTGATAACATCCGGGCATTGTTATTCTTCTTCTTGTTATTATTATTATTATTATTATTATTATTATTATTATTATTATTATTATTATTATTATTATTATTATTATTATTATTAAATCACAGATAATGTTTGAGGAATATGCATTAATCGAAAATAATTAAAACCCGGAGAAGAAATCATACCATCGTGCAATTTATTCACGTTCTTTAACTATTAATTTACTTATCCTGATCTTTGATATTCTGCTTAGTTTCTCTAAGTATCACTGTTATGTCATATACATTACATGTCATTTACACCATAGTACGGGCAAAAATTTACTTCAAAATGAAATCGTGCCTAACTCACGTCATGAATGTCCAAATGTCTTATTATTAATTTGTATCGGAACAATAGCGTGTGCGATAGCTTCGTGGTTAATGATTCCCTTGCACACAGACATTTGATATACTTGCTGCAAGGTAACAACCTGTAATCAACACGTTTCATTTCCTTATTGCAAAGGTTTACTTTGTTTAAAAATTATTTATTGTAGAAGATAGAAACTCAGCAATAGTTCAGTTATTACACACATAAATGCTACCAGCAAAGAGACCCAAAAATAGCTTGCTTACTGGTAAACTAAGCCAGTCTACAAAATGCCTACTAAGATTCGCTTAACTCAAACTTATGCAATCTTCCTTCCCTTCCCTCCACTGTTAACTCCAAAAAAATGGTAAAATTCATTCGTGCATTTATTTAATTTAGATTTCAAGGAGAAGGAAGTTTCAATCGATCTTCTCATGAAAGCCAATACAAGGAAATGATTTATGCAGTAATTCAGCAAACAACATGGTCACATATAATAATATGGTTTTATAGTTGCTACATACGATGCCAAATAGGCATCACTTGCATTCAGGACCAACTAAGCGTCATATTAAGCCTCTTTGTGGACCGCTCCAATGGCCTAGCGGTTAGAGCTTCCGCATCGGATGCGGAAAGTCGCGGGTCCGAAACCCGGCCGAGTCATACCAAAGACTTTAAAAAATGGTACTAACAGCTGCCTCGCTTGGCTCTCAGCATGGATAGGTTAGTATTAAGACTGGTGGGTCTGGTGTCAGGATAATGCGACTGGGTGAGATATCGTTAAACGTATATGTGGCATGGTGTCCAAGTGTTAGACGTTACTGTAAACTGAGTGATACGACTGTTAAATTAAAACACACACACACACACACACACACACACACACACACACACACTTATCTTAGTGAAATCCTCCTGTTGATAGATTCATATTTTCAGGAGTAATAACATTTACACATTGCTGATGTGGCCGCCATATTTAGTGTCTCAGCGGCTGTGTTTTCATTTAAGACCAGGTAGGTATCTTAGTAAATCTTTTGGGGAAAACTCCATTCCGACATGACTTTCCGTGCTGGAGAAGTAGCAGTATCACGCTTTTCAAGATCGAGGTTGTGGATAGCATTTTGGACGCTTAAGAATCAAGTTAAAGATGTGTTCATGTCACCCAATACGCTCGCATTTTCACTTGTGTCAAGGGAGTAAGTATACGTCTGCTAGAAACGACTCATATTCATGTGAATGGAGGAGCCTAGGTTAGCTACCCTTATGTTTTCATGTGCAGGACACTTTACTGCAGCTGCCTCGGTACTAAATAATCTATTCATGTTGTGCAGTAAAGCGCCGAACCACTCCCTCCATCCCCAAACCCATCCCCAAACCCAAACATAAACTCAAATCAAAACAAAAACAGTCGGATAATTAAGACCAGTCAATCAAACTATGCAGATAGACTATCAAAAATAGGCATCGAACTCAAAATGCATAGTTAGAGTTAATATCCACCACATTTGCTTACTAACATAAGACCACACTTGATTCCTTTCTTAATACATTGCAGAGGAAATTGAAAGACTGTGCAGAATTTCACTGAAATTATCTGAAAAATTATTCACCGTTGTGCTCGGGGCAGAGATTGTCGTTATTATGAATGGATTCAAGAAGGAACACTGGAAAAATTTTACGTTGGAAGTGAGACATTAGTTTCAATGCGTATTGGAAATCATATAAGAGTAGTAATATTTCATACAATAAAGAAAATATGCATATACGTGTTGTTCATTTTTTGTCTTTTTATTTCTTTGGTTTGGCTTTTGAAATTAAACAGAGATTGGAATCCTAAATTAGTGCTGATTTTGTTTAAAATTTTCAAAATTAAGCATTTATTTGTAAATGGTGTCAAGCTGACAAAGCACCACCCTATACATTAAATTCTGGAATGGATATAGGCCCTAATCCTATTCCGTCTAAAATTGTAATATTTAATTTTGACAAAAATTGAAAATTGTAAACCTAATTATTTTGAATAGAATTTTCATTATTTAAGGGTGGGGTGTTTTGTTTTACAAAGAAGCCTTTGTAACTTTATGAAGAGGCTAAAATGTAATCAAATATATATTTTGTCTTTAGTAGGTTTGAAACTATAAAAAACAACAGGATATTAAAACAAGTTTCAAAAAAGAAGATATTTAATCCAATATTTTTGCTACTGTTTCATGGAAAGTAGAAACTTTTGGGATTATTATTGGTAACGTGCATGCATTAAACTAGCTTTGCTTTTGATTTATTTTTATTTTTTTCTGAAAGAATGTTATATGGAAGGTCTGAAAACGGTGTTTGCATTACATACATTGAATAAGTCAATAGACAGAAACATTAATCCACTTCAAAGGGATGGACAAACAACTTCATTAATATCATATGTAGTTCATGTTTAATTAGCCTCTGAGTAGTAGACAGTCATGTGATGATAACTGACCAGTGAAAGCATAGTCATTACAATACTACTCATTGTGTGCAAGCACTTACTGTACTTTTTACGTTGATTTTGCGCAAAAACATTGTCTTTTGGGGTCTTGTGCTTTTTAAATCAAGACTGCAATTTTGCGTTATTTCATATGGTAGATAATTTTCTGTGATGACTGTACGTATGTTTGTTTTTTTTTCTGATGACATCCTCTGAGTGTCATTGTTATATGTTGTATGCATTATACATCATCAAATAGAAAATATAATGGACACATTTTACGTCTTCTTATTACAAATGTTTTCGAATCAGTTCCGTATAAATTTCAAGAGCTGAAATGTACTGATCCGCCAAGAATCGTGACGATTTCAAGATGGCTTCGTCCAGAACTCTTCTGAATATATATATATATATATATATATATATATATATATATATATATATATATATATATATATATATATATATATATATATATATATAGTTCAAATAATGCGCACTTTGATTTCCACTGAACAGACCAAACAAATGCTCTTCCTTTCAAATAATATCTAAGTACAACATAAAACCCCTCTGCAGAGGTACAACATGAATACAAGAATTGAGAATGACTCCAAAACAGAAATGAAACTGATTGCATAGTTCTCTCCTTATAAACATCTTCGACTGCGACATTTCACAACATACCCCAGGTGACAGATCTTATTACTCAGTTTGTCTCGAAATTTCCTATTCATGTCACCTAGTCCAATAAATTGAAACTTGCTGAATTCTTCTAGAACCGTCCAAACCCCATCAGCCAATGATAAATTAACCGAAAGTCATTATTAAGTTGTGTTGTTTAAATTATTATTAGTAGCTGTCAAAACATACGTAAGCATCTATTCATAAAATTATGTAATTTTACGCTCTTAATAGACCCTAGTCACGCAGGCAAAAGCTAACTTAAAATAATCTGTACAACTTATAGCCATGAATAAAAATGACCAAAAAAAAAAATAAAATGCACCTGAGGTTATTAGTATTATTGGTATTATATATAATGTATGTGTGTGTGTGTGTGTGTTAACGTGACAATGCTCGTACAAAGTAACAAAGAAAAGAGTGAAGCCAACAAGCTTTGTAAATATAAACTGAATAATGTATTTCCCTAGAAAAAAAAAACAAGGTAAAAATATGAAAAAATAACTTACGGTTTGTGAATCTAATCAAATATTTAATCCTAGAATTTAAAAATATTAGTCATATCACTAAAAAGTTCTAAATGAATCAAATTTCGAATCACAATGAAGTTCCAAGAAGGAAGGCGATGACGTCTTCTAAAGCATGTTTGTGTTGACATGTCAACAGTTTCTTGTTGAACACCAAGAATATAATCCGGCTTTAGACTTCTGAATAATTTCCAACAAATGTCTTTGTCCAAGAATTTTAATAACCACTAGATAACGTCTCGAGGGAAAATAAATTATTTAAATAAAAACTCAATTGAAACTGGCGACACAAAATAACACCTTTTGAGCCCGAACGTATGAATTACGACGAACTATTAAACACTATGAAACCTCATTTTAAATCTTACTACGACGTAATAAGAATTGAACTGATATTACTATGAAAAATGTCAAATCCAGTTAATAAAGTTATTACAATAGCATGTAATAACATAAAAATAAAATAAGTGAATTTAAAAATAACACACAAATAATTAACATACATACATACATACATACATACATACATACATACATACATACATACATACATACATACATACATACATACATACATACATACATACATACATACATACATGCATACTGCCACGTAATAGCATTAACAATCATAAATATATTTCATCTCCCTTAGTTTGCGAAGGTTTAGTATGCATTTAAAAAAAAAAAAATTGTTAAACATTGGAAATACAACAACACTACGTATTTACTTAGCTCAGTGAAATGTACAGTTACATACATAACTGTTCCCTGCATTGCGATCCCATACATTATACTGCAACATGATAATAGGCACGTATTACTACTTCAAAATGCAACTGATTTGAATGGTGTCACTAAGATTCGAAAGTGTACAATTATTAATTGGTATAAAAAAATACTGGATTGTTTTATGATTAATATTTTCCGTACACACACACACACACACACACACACACACATAGTTCGTAGAGAGCGATCACAGGCCCGGGGGTAAGAAACATTCAGACATCTCCTAGTTCTTATTCAATCAAAATTTTTTTAATAAAATTAAAGTATTGCTCGGTCCGGGTCCCCTTACTGGCCCAGGTTCCGGGGATATATCCCCACTTTCACCAACCTTCTTCTTGTCGGCCATGTACACACATATAATTTAAATATATGCTACCAGGGAACAACGTGCATAATCTACACAGGCGTATTTTTTCTCTCTCTCTGTTTGCTGTGTTTTAGCACGTGAATTATTAAGTTTTATCTTACTTAGCCTCTCGGGTGCCCCAAGTGGCCATCTCACCTGTCTGGGTGGTTTAGGCTCTCGGGCTCGGTCAATGTCTGTACGTAAGAAAGCTTTCCAATAGCTTCTCATGGGTCGGTGGTTCTTCCCGAAGTTTTCCCGGGTTCTTACTGGCTTGTGCGAAAAATGGCGTTAAACCAACAACAACAACTTAATCGCTCGCAGCATAAAGATTAAAAATGTAAAATTTTATATACTGAAAAATGAAGCCAGTCTACCAAATCCATACGAAGATTCATCAAAACGCTTTTGCATCCTGATAGCTCTTGTCAAAGTTATGCAATCCTCTCTCCCCTATCCACCCCAAGAAAGGTAAAGTGTCGCAATTTTTGTTCATAAATTTGCAACGTACTTGATTTCGATTTTACGGAGGATGTCGTTTCTAAAGTGATTCATTTCATAGTTGCTTTGGCTGTAATTGTATCACAAGATTGCATATCTTTTAAAACTGGTTTAAATGAACAACTTTAAGTACATGTATTCTGTAAAGGCAAGTTATCTTAATTCATCTTTGATGAAAGCAGGTAAAATAATGCGGTACATTTGATAAACTAGGTTAAGGACATATACATAGTATCTGAGTAAGGTGTCAACGTTATTGTAATGGCAATTTGATATCTATGTATGTAATGCAAACTGCTAAATTATTGTTGTCTATTATCCAGAGATACGATACATATTTACCAAGTGATGG